AAAATACTATTAATTTGAAATTAAAATAGTATATATTAAATAATATTTTAAAATATTATATTACATTTAAAAAAGAATTATGAATATTAGATATTTAATTAATAGAATTATATGTAAAATAATATGTTAATTAGAAAGTAATAGAAATAATAATAAAATAATGAAAAAGTGAAATAGAGAGTGTGAATAGTAGTTCTCCAAATTTGGAGAACTACTATTCAACTCTCTAAATTTGAAGAATAGAGGGTGATTTGGAGGTGGGTTGGAGTGCCCATTCTCTATTTTACTCTCCAAATATAGAGTATGGTGTGTAAAATAGAGGTGGGTTGGAGATGGTCTAATATAGTAGAAAAAAGAAAAAAGAAATAACATGTTTGACCAAAATTTTATTTAGACATGATTCTTTTTTTTAATCAAAAAAGCAATTTTTTTGTTATGTATTAGAACTATTATTTTTGGCTAGTGAACTAGCTTTTTTAAGAGAATTATTTTTTTACTCACAAACTTCAACTTGTTTGCAAATGAAACGTATGTTTACACATAAACTTTAAATATTGTTATTTTGGTAAAGTTTTAATCAAATTTATATTCAAACGTTCATGGTTCGGTTTGGTTCAGTTATTAGCTAAAATCAAAATCAAATTAATTTAGTCGATTTTTAAATTCCTAAAATCAAACCAAACCAAATGAAAAAAATAACCGTCGATTTAGTTATTGTCAGTTTGGTTCTAATTTTTCGGTTTGGAAGTAATAAATTAAGGTTGTTGAGAATATATGCATCTTAATAGACACAAACACCTAATACTTGAACAATAGAAAGTTATTATGGATTTAATTAAGCAATACTAAATTTATTATTACACAAATAAAGTGATTCAATCGAGAGAAAGTGTAACTATCTAATGTGACGTAGGGTAGGTAAAGATTAAAGTAATAGATTTTGATAGACTTGGTCTTAGGATTTTAATAGTCAGGCTAAAATTCAAGTGTCGGGCCTGAGAAAATGGTAAAGTTAAGATTTAAGTTAAATAAAATTTAACAAAATATTTATATTTTATTTATGAATAATATATAAATAATTATAATATAAATATTTCTCGGTCCGATTGGTTGTTTTTGCGGTTTGTTTTTAGTAAAATCAAACTCAAACCAAATAAAATTTAAAATCAAACCTAACCAAACCACACCAACTGTCAATTTTTTTAATTGGTTTGGTTCGAATTGCAGTTCGATTTGGGTTTCTAACCATAACCATGAACAACCCTACAAACAACTATAAAATCTTTTTCTTTTTAATTTTTGGAATCTTTTTCCGACAAGTAATAAATTTTATTTTGAGAATAGTATGAATTGCATATGTTTTGTGTGGAATTCGATAATTTTTTGACAAATTTTAATAGAGGGATAGAAGTTGTTAAGTTTTAAATACTTGAATGATGTTTTTTGTTAAGAAACATAATTTATGGATGTAGTTTAAAGAGGAATTTTCACATATAGCTACTCAAAAATAGCTTAATTACTCTCCGTAGCTATAGTTTGATAAATACAATTCTTAGCTACATGTCATAGGGAGAAGAAAGGAGAGCGAGACTGGAGAGAGGCGAGCGAGAGAGGTAAATTGTATATGTATATCAGTCAGATAATTGTATATTATACATATGTATTTGTATATATGGCAAGCGAGAGTGAGAGATGGAGGAGAGAGGCGAGCGAGAGAGCCAAGAGAGTGGGAGAGAAGTGAATTGTATATGTATGTCAGTTAGATAATTGTATATTATACATATGCATTTGTATATATGGCAAGCGAGATTGGGAGAGGGAGGAGAGAAGCGAGCGAGATTGGGAGAGAAAGGAGAGATGCGAATGAGAGAGGGCAGAGAAGTTAATTGTATATGTATATCAGTTAGATAATTGTATATTATATATATATATATATTTGTATATTCTGGCGAATTATATATATACGAACATGACTAATTATACAAACTTGAAGTTAGCCCACGTAATTAATGTATAATGTTAGTCGCAAGTGGTAATTATAGCAAACTATAACTATGATTTTCCTAGTTTAAATCTCATATATATATATATATATTACCCTTATTTATAAGTGAACAAGAAAAAGATTATCACGGCATCAATCAATTGTACCAAAAGTAAAGTAAATTGTACTACAAATTTAGCCGATTTTGTTTCTTCACATTCTTTCTCAATCACGTGTATGAATTTAATTTCACCATCTTCCTTTTCCTTTTGACACGTATTACATCTTTGTCATTGTGAAAGACATTTGGTTTCCACCCAAAACACAATTTCATCTTTTCTACTTCTCTCAAGACTTCTCTCTTTTCTCTCACTATGTTATATGTTTTCCATGTAGAATTGATGTATTTCATCACTTCAAATTGGTTCTTCTTCAACATTGGTCGGATAGCTCTTCATCATTATCTTTGTACATATTAGATTTTTCCATTTTAATTAGTTGATTTTTTCAAAAAATTTATGGGTCTTTTATATTGAGAAAGATTGAATCAGGGTAATGTGCATAAACTTCCATAACTTATTTTGTATTACTAATTTAGTACTTCTCTCATTGATTTGTATCCATAGTTTGCACATCATTTTTCATGCATGTCTCTTTATTATAGTTTAAAGTTTTTCAACTTTATATTTGTCAGGAGACATGGGATTGTGAAATAGCTATTACAAATTACTACAAGTGAGTGTTTCGATAATTCTTGCTCAAATTTTATTCAAAAATTTCTGAAAGTTGGACGCAATAAATTTATGCTGTAAGTCACTGTAACCCGCATTGAGTGCTAGACCTAGCATTGCAGGGGAAATAGTTGCTTCTAAACTCATAAATCCCCATTTTGTTGTGTATTAAGGTTGAGGTCTCAAGTTGGAGCAGAGATTGCACTGTTGAGTTTTCTTGCTTGAAGTTATTTTGATTTATTTTTCTATCAAGGACATAGATAAGTAACTTTCAAGCTTCATATCGGAAAGTATTCGAACTAATAATAATAATTATTGTTCAACAAATATTCAATGGAACTTTGAGTGCACTGTCATTGTGTATTGCAGCTAATGAAAATGAATAGAAAAATTATGATATTTATATGTAGTTAGCTTTTTGTGAAGAGGCATATCACAAATAGTCTAATGAGAAAGCATATGTTTACATTCATAGTTGCAAACAAGATCGACTTGGCTTGAGTCTTAAACGAACAATAAATTTTTTAACATAAAAACTAGCAAGTTCTAAAAATTATAATTTTAGTATATATTGATATATGCTTACATTTTACATTTCACCTTAGTAACTGATGCAAGCAGGTATACATATAGGAAGTTCTTTTTTATTTAGATGGTCCAATTACTCTTACCTTTTCGCTAATAACTTATGTCGCACTATGTAGCAGTAATATTCAATTTTGTTCTGAACCATCTTCCCTCCTAATAATGATGATATTTTATTAGGCTGAGTTGCTTTTAAAGTTGTTATGAATGATTTACAAATTGTGATTAGATAGTTTCAGTTACAAGGACTGAAAAATGTTAAAGTTTCTCCCCATAATCATTGCTTCTTCCTTTTGAAATTAATCGTCATAGAAATATAATAACTATGTTTGCAATCTCTCCGCCCAAAGTTAGTTCGAAATCTTAGTAAGTTCAAAATCTTAGAAAGTGAGGTAATTGTTATAATATTTAGTTTCATATTTTAGCCTGAGCTTTACGTTTCAAGTCGGGACTCCTTCTATGCTTCTATCGTGTCACAGAATTTTCCAAG